AGCTCTCCACCATTTGTGTAAAGCATTGGTGATTGACGATGATTTCTCCAGTGCAATATGCTGCACATGGACGGAAAGCAACTTAAGATGTAAAAATAGTTTTGCGTTAAAAACCTCTATTACAAAAAGAATAGTTCAGATTCTGAACCTAATTTGGGAGACTTGAGGCCACATGCCCCCTGTTGAAAAGCTCGGCTGAAAACTCTGTAGCTGCCAGTTTTATGCGGAACCATAGTGGCTTTCTGGTGGCTTTTGACGCTTTTAGACCATACATGAACAAAACCTGCCCAGCAAATTCTGCAAAACAAAACACCTGTGGAGCCAGACATGGGCATTGCCTTCTTGTTCTCCTTGTCTGAACCTACGAGGCTAACCGGGATGTGAACATGGTATGCCTGAAGTTTTCAAAAGCAGCAAGACATGCTGTGGACTAGGACTAATCAACATTTACCTCTTGCGCTACCAATCTATACCTGTTGCGCTTTGTTTGGCCTTGAAAATGCACATGTGAAAAAGATATGAATATATATATATATCAAAAATACATGCCCAGCAGCCTCAGAGTGCATTGTCACATCAATGTTTGTACATGTCCGGTGGCTGTTTACCAGTGATGTTTGATCAAGAGGTAGACGCGCTACACCTACAACGCTTGACCAATTTGAGTTGACATTTCTCAACTACGCTGACTTTCTCTAACAAAACCAGGACCTTGAGTCTAGCCGTCTAGCCCACTTCTGAACAACAAAAGCACCATCGGACTTGAGCATTCCCTCGCTTCCAGCTAATACAGCGACGCAAGGGTCTATAATTAGAATGTCTTCCTTCCTTCCTCCCTTCTCGTCCCTCCTTCCGCCCTTCCTGTCCCCTTTCTGCCCTTGCCCTTCCTTCTTGGCTTCCCTTTCTGTCTCCTTTCTGGCTTCCCAACTTCCGCGCTTGCTACCGCGCTTCACGATGAACATCGCCCAACAAGCAACCACAAACCCATCACTGGCAGAACACTTTGCCCGGTTGGGGGCTTTCCCACACCCTGCCCCTACTTCACGCTCTGCTGTCATGGGCAGCCCTTTGGTGGAGTTCCAACTCCTCGAACACATTCTGCCATTGGCGCTGTCGCTCTGAATGGCTGCAGCTGATGTGTAGGGGCGATCCGCACACCACAGTTCTAGGTTCTGGAGGGCGTGGAGCTGCGTGGCCAGTAGGCCATTCTCAGTTTGTGTTCGCGCCGTTGCTCCCCCTGCACCTCGGTTGCAGGGGACGTTGCCAGCTCCGTCGCGGTCACGCTCGCTCCTTCCTTCGGCATCTTCCACAGTTCACTGCAGTTTAGGTGCAGTTGGGTTTTCGGCGTTCGCTGCTGACATCAGCTGCCCCATGCACCTGCGAATTCCGTCTGCACTGATAGAAAACTTTGCAGGGGCTCCACAACACGCGCCACGTATTTCGCCAACACATCCTGGCAAGTGTTGGGCGGTCAGAAGGTTTCGAGGGTGAAAGAAAAGGGAGGGTGAAAAAAACATTGTTGAAGGGTGGAAAAAAACGGAGCCCTTCGAAGTGCTGCAAGGCCATCTTCCATGGATTTCCACAAGTGAGTGAGTGTGAGTGCGAGTGAGAGTTCAAGGTTCACAAAGTGCTGTGCCTGCCACTTCGAGGTTCACAAAGTGCTGTGCCTGCTGCGAAATCTGCACTTCGAGGTTCACAAAGTGCTGCGCCTGCCACGAAATCTGTAAACGAGCCACATGTCCAAAAGTCACGATTCACTGCATGAGCTTGTCGCCACCATCTCCAAACTGCTGGACCTGCCACGAAACCTGCATTTGGAAGTAAAGCCGCTCCGACCCCTTGCACCTGACGCGAAAACACGGGTTTCCCCTTGCGCCTGCCACGAAGAGTGGCTACCATGTCCGAAAATGCGCACGGCACCACAACGAGAGCGCAGTCGCTACAAGCACCCTCTTTCTTTCTTGTTGCCAAATTCCAATCAAAGCTCTCATTTGGCCTCTCACGAATTTCCTTTAGGTCCTTCATGTAGGCCTCATCAACTGCACTCAAATACTTCTCAAAGACTCATGACCATTCTCTGAATGCCTTGATCTGTGACTTGTAGTCAATGATGTTGGGCTTTGCTATCAGTTTTGACCCATCTGTTGTTGACGACTTCTTGTTTTCAACTGCTTTCTTCACTGCCTCAGCTTCTGATGTTGTTGCTTGCGTACTCTGTGCTATAACTGCAAGGATTTCCCTGATATCCTCCATCTCCAATACTCACTTATGCCTTTCAGACACAACTGGGCACAGAGTGTTGCTCACAACAATTATTCACCAGTCCAGCTGTTTGGGTTCCAAAGGCCCCAAATCTATGGCTCGAAATCGCACCCGGGATCCCAGTGACCTAGGGGCTTTTCAATCAGAGCTCCAGAGGGGTTACCTCCTTCTCAGCTCCGCTACCATACGCTCTTTTTCTTAGATGCAAAAGGGCTGCGACAAGTCTTGACATGCAATCAACGATGTCTATGACGCTGTACACGACTACTCTGATTTACCTTGAAAATGGTTCGCACATATATACATATACACATAGTATACTGTAAATTGCGCAGTCCATCCTTCCAACCATACTCTGCATGCCAGCATGCAAAGTTCACTCGGCGACTCGACTCCAACTCGGCGACTCGTCCGAGTTGTTCAGCTCAACCAGCCACAAACCGCAACACCATACTCTCTCATCGCTACTCATGGACCCTCTTCAAACCACGATCAGTTGTTTTTCTCTTTTTGTTTTCGGAATCATGGCTCTTCCACGAAGCGATTCAGAGTCCATGTGACCGTTTTTGCGGGCACGTTCAACAACATTGGTAAACGGTTCACCACTTCCCCAGCAGGCCGAGTACATGACCGTAATGCCAGGTGACTCGGCTTGCCGCCTGCAACATCGGCCTGGCAAGGTGCAGCTTAGCTGACTCAGCTGACTTAGCAAATTGCGTGATATCCAGTGATTCGGCGTCGTGCACCACTTAAGGATACCTGTGACATAGATGGCTACATCGAATGAGTCTACCAGTCTACCTGCGAGTGTGCGTCAACGAGTCAACAAACATTCTTCAAACCATTGCAGGGCTGCGCCCAGCCGGACGCTTTTTCTCGCGCAAACAGCAAGTGGTTTCGTCTCTGAAGGCAGCCAGCCATGCGTCTGGATGGTACCGTCAGGTTTGGGTCGGTTCCTTGGCATCTGCCACACACCCCGCAAGTGATTTCTGTGATGGATTCGGGGGCGTGACACGATGTGACATGACCCAAAACAATCCAGAATTGTCTGATCTCTCAAGAACGTAGGTGTCGTTTTTTCAGCCCTACATGGACACCGTTCAACAAGAAACCTTGACAAAGCATGACAAAGCCAGATCATGAGCCAAAGCCCCAACCAAAACAGAAAACAGCCACAGTGAACAGCTTCATCGTTCCAATCCGTGCGTCAAATGGCCACGCACCCCGTAGTGAGGTTCCACATGTGCGAGGCACACATGTGGGCGCCCATGATCTTCGCCACGATCATGGCCACCAAGGCGATGCAGGCAAGCGGGAAAAGGATCCCAACCACGAAGTTGATAGGGTCTCTGCTCTCTGAATCTCTCCACAGAAACATTGCTGCACCTTGACTGCGGCAAACCCTAGACAGAAACAAACACCCACAGGACTACGGCTGTTACTGCTCAATTGGAACCAAAAGAGAGAATCACTTCTAAGATGAAAATTGATGAGAAATTTCATGAAATTTCATGTAGCGCTGCTAAAGAGCAAGCACGCCACAATGCTGCAAAGAAGAAACAACATTCTCTCCCACCCAAACAAAACAACATTACATAATTTCCCGCATAATAGTGAACATCCAGTTGTTCCACATAGATGTTGATCGAAAGGTCAATCCCAGCTGATGCAGACTGCTGCAATTGCCCCAAATGATTTGATTCCATGAGAGCCTCCAGTTGCAACCTCCACACTCCACACTAAGAGTCTATCATGTCACACCATTTACTCCACTTAATCAATTCCAGTAAGATAATTCCTACACAAACTGGTTCCAGTGAAAGGTCACCCCCAACTTACAAGCCGGCCCACCAACCAGTTGGTCACCACGTTCGCCGCTGGCCATGCCAAGGTTCTGAACAGGAACGTGAGCAACTTCTGGCTGGCGCTGGCCAGGCCCAGCCCCATAGAGAACAACAGCTTGGTGCGGCCGCCTTCAGTGAGCCGCTCGAAGAGGATTTCGAAAAAGGCGCTCTGCAGATACCTTGGCCGTCGGCGATGGCGACGCGGCCATCATCAACACACATGCGACGTCCACGCAGAGAAACACGAAGCAAAAAAGGATGGTCTGCAGACTTGACGGAAATCTTTGGGAGAGACCAAGTGCTTGAAACTTGCGACGGCCAGTTCATGGCTTGATCAGCAGGGGAATTCGTGACAAGTGCACAGACATTTTACAAGTGCGACGACTGACTCTATGCAAAGAAAAACAAGATCTGTTTTTTGACAAGAGGGGGCTGGAGACTCAGCTGAACAAGAAATCTCCAAACCCGGTAGAACTGAACCTTTAACAAAGTATCTCTTAGGTGCAGCGCACGTCCAGAAAACAAATTTGGAAGAGAACACCTGGCTCCAAACATTTTGCACACCTCCATTTCAGTGGTGATAAATGTGGGGGTGTCCTGTTCCCCCTTAGAGCGGCAAGCTATGTGTCAAAGCACATCCGTGGCATCGAAACATGATGTTCCGTGCGAAATTGCATGATCCAACAAACAAACAAAAAAAGCAAGTGCACCAAAAAACACAAAGCCACAAAGGCCGTCTTTTGGAAAGCTGTATACAGTGTAGTCAGTCGTTCATGCAAAGTAACGAACAAAACTATGGGTTACTACGAGTGGAAATGCTCAACGGTTTGCGCCAAGGGTACAGTTGCGCCAAGTTCTCTATCACCACTCTATACATCAAGCTGAATATAGCCTTCAGGGATCTTCCGGGACTGTCTTCAAAGAGTTGGCAAACACAAACAGCCCAGGTCCAACTCCACCAGACACCAGACACCGAGATCGCGCCTTCCCAGAGAGCCCAACATTGGCCTGGCCACGCCGCACATAATTTCCCGACAAACTTGGGTACTCGAAAATCTCTTCACAACGAACACAACCAGAAAAAAGGTTCAACAGCCAAACACGTCGAATGGTTTCTGCGCGCCTGCTCCTCCATGGACTTCTTCTCATAGAGCGTTGCGAGGCCCAGCATGCCCGCCACGTCCGCGCTCAACATCACGCTGGCGACGTCCCCTGAACCGAAGGTCGTGCTAAAGCCCTGCTGGACCGCCACTGCAAAGCTCAATGCCAGCAATAGCCTGAAGCTGTCGACATCGTGCGAATGGGTTTTCAGGCAGTTCAGGTCCACCGTCGGCAAGCCGATGTTGGAGCAACAATGTTTACCATGTGTTTGTTTCATTTGTGGCAGGATGTTGATGAACATGGTTTGTGAACATGTTGCAAATAAAACAACACCTTGAGCTCTAATCCTGGGATGTTTGTGATCCATTTTGACCCATGTTGGTCCATTTCAATAGATCTGCTGAACGTTCTGCATGCTGCAAACCAACACACTTCAGTTTATCCATATGTCATGCGTGCTTTCTCGTCAGCTTCATGAGCCTTCGTCCACGTGTCTTTCCTCGGTCTTCCAAATCCGGAAAGAAACAAGAACACGTTCCAACATATGTTTGAAAAATGTAAAAATCTCATTCAAGATCGGTTCTTCAAAGATCATCTTCACCAAGCAGCAGGCCCCCAAAGCGAAGCCACATCACCAGCGGCACCCATACCATAGAAGCCCAGGAAGCTTCAAAGGCCTTGACGTAGGTGTCCGTGGCACTGGGCTCACAGGCGAAGGCCTGGTACAAAGAAAATGTACGAATCGTCTGTAAAGGATTGGTGTTTTGTTGAAACACCAAAAAACAGCCCTGTTTGGGACAGCACTGTTTGGACAAAACTGTTTGAAACAAAACAAGCAGTCTGGATATTGTGTGTGCTTGGTGTCCCAAAGGATATGGTTGAAACAAAAAGCTGTCAGACACCGCCCTGTTCGGGACAACACCGATGTTGGACACCAAAAGAGCTCGAGCCGTTTCCTCCGCGGTTTCCTCCGCCCTACCTATCCTTCGCCACCCGGCCTGGATGGGTGTCGCACCATCCGTAAAGAAATCCAGCTGCTCCAAAGGGCCGAACAAGACGAATTCAGCAGACATGGCCAGGGCACTCCAGCTCCACCCGTGCCGTCTCAGCAAAGTCGCCTCCTAAGCGTTGGCGCCCGCAGACAAGCTGGATTCCACAGCCGAAATCAACATGTATGATTAAGATATTATGATATAACACATCTGCGAAAAAGGCGACTGTTCTTTCATCCATGCTGCCACCCACTTGGACCTTATCAAGAAGGGGATGCAGAGGAGGTACGCCCAAAAGGGCATACCTCCTTCGCAGGTGGTGTATGGCGCTGCCAAGATTGGCAGAAATGGCAAGACCAGCATGAGACGTGCTTCGCATCTCAGCCTCTGCGCTAGCGACTCCACATCAGATTCTCCTTCATCTGCTTCTTGAATGAGGGTGTATGGTTTTGAAGCGAAGTCTTTGCAACACTCCGTGAACCACTTCAAATAGATCCCTCCTTGGCACAGCACGCAGCTGAGCAAGAAGAAGCCTGAGACGATCACGGCCCAAAGTTCCATGGCGTCAACAGTTCCATGGCACGTGCCATGTGAGTTTCTGAAAAAGGCTGCGAGGTCTCGGAGTCTCGGATCCTCAACAAAGATGGACTTCCAACAGACCCCAGCCGGGGAAGAGATGTTGAAATGACTTCCACCCTTCCACCCATAGGTCACCCGGGTACTCCTACCTTGTGCACTCGAGAAACTCGGCAAGACAAAGTTGAGGACAGGAGGAAAAAATCAATTACAACCTGCACAACGTAGTAAATCAAGGTCCACAAACGAACTCATGTTGATGCATATTGGATCTGCGGAGAAACCACCATGGAAAAGCCTATGTGATCCACAGATGAGGACCAGCCGAAAAAAACACGACCAAGGATTACTACGACGAGAAGCTCACGATGAACTTCATGGGCGAATCGAAAGATGCAGATGAGCGAGTTTCAACCCCTGAAGACGCGGGACATCAACACTGCAGACCACAGCACTTCCGACTGGGCATGAACCGGCCTCTCCTTTGGGGCGGTCGCTGGGGCAGCCTGCAAACGATCGAAGCTACGCAAGCCAACACCCAATGGGCACCCAAGTAGAAGAGGAGACATTCCCTAGGACCTAAAACCAGGATCGATTTCAAAGACACCAAGTAAATCCAAAAGACCATATACAGTAAGAAACAAATCAGAGAGTTGTGAAATAGAACGAACTCGAAGGAAAGGACGATGCAACGAACTCGTCATGTCGAGTTTGGATCAAAAGGCATGGACAATGACGAACTTCATCACTACAAGTGGAGAACCCGACATGGTGTTCCAAAACCAGGGGGGCAAGCGGAGTGAAGCGTCCACCACACGTTCTGCAAGAGAGCCTGAATAAACTCGAAACAGTTCCTGGAACTGGAAGGTTGCTAAAAGGTCAACAAAAACACATCTCAAAAGAATACCGAAATCAAAGTGGGAAACCAGAAGACACATCCAAACACAAGAGTTCTTGTTCCATTTAATCAAACAGACACAAAGCAAAATATGAATGACTACTTGACTGCCTACATCTGCCAAGTAAGGCGCTGGTGCCCTGCCTATTTTGGGCCGCGAGTGGCCTGATGAAGTGACCTAGAGAATCCAGAATTGCAAGTCATGAATTGCTTTGGCTGCTCATATGAGGATTAAAAGGGACCGCACTCCAACAGAGAAGGAGGGTAGGACCGCGTCCTCTGAAAATTGTTTGATCCATCGATCGCACCGAAGAAGTTCGGTCGCTGAAGAATGAGGCAATACCGCAATGCTGCAATCTACCGGATGCGCTTTCTCCATCCATGCAATCTGTGAAGCGCTGAGCCAACGCTTGCATTCATCCAGCTTCCTCGCCAAATCCCCCAAAAGACTCATGTCAAAGAAGGAAAAGAGTTGCCGAGTTGCCCTTCTTTCAGGAAAAACCTGTTGTGTTGGATGCCCAAAATGGTTCTGGTCAAACGAACAAAAGGAAGCAGGAACGGCTGGATGATTTGGTCTTCAGCACTTGTGGCTGGAAGAACCGTTGTTCGTCCCTGTCATGACATGCCCCGTGTCCCTGTCATCGGATGCGAGACGTCAAGACCGGCTTTCTGGCCTGACTTCTTTCCTAAGAAGACCTGGATGGGGTACATGACACTGTGAACACATACAAAGTGCTACCGAAGTGCTACCAGAAACATCAGGCTCCAACAGAGATACACAAAATTTCACTTGACTATGCACCACGCATCCCCCATCCGATCTGTCCTATCCTTCGCATTCCAAAACTGGCCGCTTCTTTGGTGTTAGGCGTCCTGCTGTATGCCTCGTGCCTCTCATCAACACCCAGGAGGTAGCAACCGCAAAGTGGACCCTAAGAGGCGCACGCCCAGCAAGTGGATGGTGATGCCGAGACCAAGCAAAGAGGCGGGTATCGCCTCTCCCCAACCCCAACCGGCGATCGCCCCCTTCTCCTCCCCCCAACCGGCGATCGCCCCATTCTCCTCCCTGGAGAACTCATGCTCCGTAACCCCTTCCCAAGCCCCAATGCACACTCTCCACTTTACCCAGACCGGCTTGCTCACGTAAAGATACAGAGATGCCATGTCTGGAGTGGCCTTGGGGTACAAATCGAGCCAAGCCTCGGCATTGGACACTCCCAGCGGGAATGCGTCACGGGAAGGACCCACTTGTTCGTCTCAAACAAATGCTATTGTCATCCCAGGCCTTGTCCGTCGGCAGAGTTCCACTCTTGACTTCTCCCATCAGAGCTTTCCGAAACGCTGTCTGCGGTGTTCGAAGAGACCACCAAATGGCTGCGGTGTTCGTGAGCAACATAATTCAATAGTGGAATGAAGCAGTCTTGGACTCCAACCGCAATCTCAAGCTGTCGTCAGAATTCTCACTGAATCCAACATGTGCTATTTGGCTCTCCACCACAAGAACAAGAGATCTGTAGAGAATTCACATTCCAAAGCCTACAAGTTCGGACCTGTCCTAGCAATCACTCATGCCAGCGACTGCTGACGCTTCATCCAACATGGCAAGGGGTCGACGTGCTTCGCGCTCTGCGAGCGACTCGGTCCTGACAGCTCCACCCAGCCTGAGGCTCAGGCTGGAGCTCAGGGGCCTCTCATCTGTCAAGCGGCAGGGTGACCTGAGATGGGTGAGACATGGAACCAGCTTAGCTAAACCTTTCCACCAACAGGTAAAACCTGGTGAATACAAATGGCTGCAGCTTGCATGTGCAAGGATGGCATGGAAGGGTCTACCTCTTCGTTCAGAAAACCACTCCTTTCAGAAGCCAAGAAAACCAGGTAAAACACCTGCCTGCCAACCGCATTGTGGCCTCAAGGCCAGCAGGGTGTCTTTAAGATGGAATGAAGAGGGATGCAGTGCACCGTACGCGACTCTGCAAGTTGTTTACAGCAAAAGGATTCACCACACCATGATGGCCTCCGTGTTACCTCGTCCCCCCGGCGTCTTACAGACCTGCGTCACCGACCCAACGCGATCAGTTTTGCTCTGCTGGATCTGGATCGGTTGGTCAGTCAAGGATTTACACTCCCTGAAACAATCATGGTTCCGTGGAACATACACCCCTGCAAGACCCCCTGGAAGACCATTTTCCTCTATATACAACGGGGTCCTGGTCAGCTTCCATGATTGCTGGAGGGTGCAATGCAGGAAGTGGAAGGCAACACAGGTGTCAGGTGTCGACCGGTGTGTCGAACTTGATGTGTGCATCCTTAAGACCCTCGACCCTCAGCATCCCTCAGCATCCCTCGGCCCCCCGGGCTTCCAGACACTAGCTGCCTCTGAAAAGCAGAGACGAAGCGTGAAAAGGGGCCAACCAATGATATGAGGTGGATCGAACAATCCTCAAGAAGTGGAAAACGGATGAAGTATGATGGGACAATTGGAGAGTATTTGTTCATGTTTATGATATACCAAAAGCACCATCAAACAGCTGGAAGCAGCTGGGATGCCAACCAGTGCCCAGCAGCGCGGGCGGCCTCAAGGCCTCTAGTCCTCCTGATGACCTGATGTCTCAAAACGATCTCCGAAGATCTACGCAACAAACATGGAAATGATGCCCAATGCAACTCTTACCTGTATCTGTGTATATGTTTTAAGCGTTTTTTAACCACACGTTCAGGACGGGATTCACCTTCACCTTCCCTATGTTTCTTCAATCTATACACTGGTCTACTGCATCTACAGACTACTGGGCACCAGCAGGTGCTTCAAAGCGGCCGTGCTGCGCCGGGCTTCAAGGCATCGCCCAGCAGTTCGTCCTCCCAGCAGCTTCAGCCAGGCAACATCTGCTTGAAGCTGTGGATCAGTCGTGGAGCTTCTGCCGTATCAAAGCCTGGCGGTGGATGTGGTCCTTCAGAAATGCATCTCCAAAATACATCTATGAATTCAAGCACTTCAGATTCAAGATATTCAAGATCTGTGCAGCAAACAAACAATAAGGTATACCTTGAAAGGGACAAGTTCTCACGTCTCACACATGTTCTTCGAGCATTTCAAGAATGGACGATCTCCCTCTTCTGCATTCTGCATCTAATTACACTGCACTTTGCAGAAGCGGTTTAACAATTATGCCAAAAGGATGCCAAAAATGAGAAACTTCCTTGACCCCAGCTTCCAATCTGCCAAGTGGAAATTGCAAAAACAATCAAAAGTCTACAGAGCAACATCTCTCACCCTGTCTTCAAAGATTTCAGTAGCACTATGTCTAGAGTCTAGGAAGTTGTTCTTGGATTTTTTGGCCATATCCGCTCAACCACTCTCCCCACCACAGCAACCGAGTGTCCCAACCTTCAATAAACACATCCAATCGAACTTGAACCGGGCATAACCGGATCTTCGGTGATGTATCAGTGGTTTTTCTTCGATGCTTGCCAAAAAGGCCGGGAGATCAAAGCAGTACCGCCGTGACCAAGACCGAGCATGCTAGGGTGGAGGCCTCGGTGGGACACGATCGCCTGGCCAACTCCAAGACGATCCGCAGGCAGCAGAAACGGCTGGGAAACGGCTCCTGCATGGGTGCAGCAAAGAGAAAGCCTCCCAGTTAGCCGTACAGCGGCGAGGCTAAAAGATGAATGAGCAAGACATGTCACGAGTCATGGCTCTGAAGTACATGCCCAACCTTACAGGTCAAGTTCATTTTCATTCAAGCGATGCCGCCAGAGTTGCAGGGTGCTCCAACAGGAGCACAGCACCTGCCATTCCGCGTTTGGACCTTCTCTTCACTTTGGGAGCTTTAGAACAGCGAGAGTTTGCAGAGGCCCACTGCACATAAGCCTAGTCCAACGACTAAGCCATTAAAAGGATTTGATCCTGTGAAATAGCTGAAGTTCTCCGGCTTCACGTGGCTGGTGCCATAGCGTGCAGCCCACTCCACATGCTGAGCAGCAGTGGCTACACCACCTGTGGCACCAGATGCAATCATGAGTTCAGCTGCCTTAGCTGCATAAGATGGAGTGTTCATCACCTTGGTCACTGCCGAGCACACCGAGTCTTCAGTGATCCAGCCCTCCTTGTAGGGATTCAGGGTCCCCTCAGCTCCAGTAGGGATTCTGCCAATCAATTCAGCAAGACCTCTTTGTTGGATCAGCTTGGCATTTTGAGGTTGATCACCAAAGAAAGGCACCGCCACCATGGGCTTTCCGGCAATCAGGGTTTCCATGATACCGCCCCAGCCGCAGTGTGTGATCACCAGTTTGATGGCCGGATCTTGTAGCAACTCTGCTTGTGGAAGCCACTTGCTGATGAAGAAGTCTGGGTCCTCCTTGCTGGGGAGAAACTCTTGTTTCTCTTCCTTCAAGCTCCACACCACACGGCACTTAGCCTTTTTCAGGCCATTAAAGATCACGCGTACCTGCCAACAGGGCTGGCAAGCACTGCAATTCTCCCAGAGGTGTTCGACCCTAGAATGAAAGCCTATGGCCTATGGTGACTACAAAACTCACATAGAAAAGTATTCCCGCTACAGACTCTTGAAACCTAATTCCTATCTCCTATAACGCTCATGAACCCAAACATAACCTCGGACATATGCTTTCCTTGAGGAAAAACTATCTGGTCTCAACCAACCCACATCCCAAACCACCTCCCAAACCCGCCTGCCACGCTTCCAGCTTCACCAAGCTCCCCGTGGTCACATAGACCACACCCTCCGGCGCGGCGCGCAGGAAGCGCTGGAGTTCCACGTGCTTGGCCAGGCCGTCGCGCAGAGCGGCCGCCGGCGGCAGGACCGGGCCGGTGACGATGAAGTTGGGATAGATGGGCATCGGCCTAAGAGGTCGGGATCTGTCTGGGTGGGTCTGGAGATGGGATCGGATGGTTCTTGTGGTTGAACAAACATGTCCTTCTTATTCTGACATCAGGTGATAACTGTTCAAAGTGTTGCCCAAAAACGTCGGTTCTGAAGCGAACAAGCTAGTTCTCAGAGCTCATCCAGGCGTCTTATCCAAGCCCCAAATGGTCTGCACCAGCACCATGGCGCCACGGCCCACCGCATTCCGCAAGGGTTTGCCCCATTCCGTCAAGCCACCCAAGCCGAGCCACTTCACTAAGGTCGAGGCACTGAAGCGTTGCCTCGCCAGGTGTAGACCGAAGCAGTTTACGCCGGTCGAGGTGTCGGGCAAACCACAAATCACTTGCATCAGTGACAAGGGTCCCGGCATATTCAGCACCAATGGCAGCTTCATCTCTTCGGTGATCAGACATCCTGCGATGGAAGCAAAGTCTGCTAGCACCACGTCAGGCCTCTTCTGGGAGAATTCTTTCCTCAAGGCCGGGCACATCAGATTTGAAATCACGGTGAAAACATGTTTGCGCGAAGCAGTCGCTGTGCTCTTGATCGTCTCGTCGCTGTAGCCTTGCATGTCCAAAGCAACCAGCGCAGCTCCAGTCTCTTTGATCTTCTTCTCAAAATCATTCTTCCCAATCTCCGGCATGTAGACGCAAACCTGGTGCCCTCGCTTGCAGAGCTCGCTGCAAAGGTAGAGCACAGGAGCGAGATGGCCCTGCTTGTGCATGGACACCACGGCAATCGAGAGTTTCTCTTTGTCTCCAGCCATGGCTCCAGCCGTCCAGGTCTCAGGCCCACTGGATCGGACTGTGTCGGAAGCTCGCCCGGGGGCGGCGGCCGAGGGGGGTAACGCTGCCAACGAGGGGGGGTCACGCGGAACGGAAGCCATTCCGCTTTCCGACGATGCGAAGGCAGTCCTGGCATTGCAACACCACACTGTTCCGCGCCGATGCAGTCCGTACCACGGGTGGTCCTGGCAGACAAATGATGAGATGCATTTGGTTCCTACACCTTGCAAACTTAATGAACATCTACCAGCACCCTCCTGGCCAGGCTGTTAGTTGAGAGTTGTTGGACCCTGTCTCAGGTTTCTTTTTCGGTGACCTATAGAGTCGGGTCCTGGTTCTATACCTAGTGCAGCTATGCCCAGACGATGCGGCTGAACATCTGTAGAGCAGGGCGAGCGAAGCGGGTTCCGGAGCGGTTCGGGCCGTTTGGGCGCCCGGCCACGTGAACAAAAGACACCAGGGGGGTCGATCCGAAGGTCCATCACAGTTGGAAGGTGGAACAATCTTGTGGACTTTGAGCGAAACTGTGGGTACAGTCTGTTGGAAGGTGGGTGGTACAGAGGTACAGTCTGTTGGAAGGCGGCTGGTTTTGTGACGATTCGAGCCACACAATGCGAAACTACTCGTCTTGGTCCCTGATGAACCTTGTTCTATCTGTTGGATGTTCGGTGGGGAAAAAAACCATCGTACCGAAGTTACGCTGGTCCACTTTGTCCTAAAAAGGAGATCCTCTAGACCAAAAAAACACCGGACACGAAACCTGGCAATCCCAGAGAAGCAGTGGGATTCTTCACCCAAGAACTGCAATGAAACAGTATGAAACATTCATCAAATTCAGAAATCATCTGAAACCTCTGAAACCATCTGAAAATCCAGAAGCGCCGAATTGTTCATGCCTTGTCATTGTCTCATGAAGAGTGGAAGTCTCAAGTTCTTGAGCGCGCCCCGCGCGTTCTGGGCGCGTGTGGTGTCTTGTCTCGTGGATCCCCAAAAGTCGGTCATGACGAACAACAGTCATTACAGGCATGAGAACAACAAAAGCACTAACCATCTTGGTGTAAGTACTAACAATTGTTCTCAATGATGTGTTTTTGATGTTTTTCCTTGAGAATAACTTTAAAGATCTTTAAAGAAATCAAAAGCACTCACCATGTTATTGAAATGTCTTTTGGAGACAAAGGAATCCAAAAGAAAGACGTGTGTTCACCTGGTGGTTCGCTCCCTTCGCTCGTTGCGCCCTCCGATCCTGACGCGTGCGGTGCCGTGCTCCGTCGACAGCGACCTCGACGGTCGGTGCAACTGATCGAGCGGTGCTGTTTTGTTCCTTGCTGCGTTTTGCTCCTCATGTGTTTCTTATGTTTCACATCGGTTCACATCGTTTCACATCGTTTCACCGATTCTTCCGATTGTTTCACCTATTCTTTTCCAAGTTTGTGTCCTAGTTTCCCCAGTTTTCCTGTGAGTGTCTATGGTTCTTGTTTTCGCTGCTTTTCACCAGCCTGTCCGTTCTTAGTGGTTCCCTATTTTTGATTTGTTACCAGTTGTCTTCTCTAGTTCTTACCCATTTGTTGGCCACATATTGCAATGCTAGCCTTCGCTTATTTGTGTGTGTTCTTCTATTGTTTTCCAATTTTTTTCCTAGTGTTTCCTAATTTGGAAAAATGAAATTGTTTATCGATATATAATCTCCGATTATATGTGTATATATATATATATATGAATGTTGTCTGTCTGTATCAACTGAATCAACTGTTTTTGCACAACTGATCAAAACAAGCCTATGTTCCCGGGTTGTGGCTTGCGTACGATTCGGCGTTTGCATTGACCCTCAAACAACAAGCTCAGATTATACAGCCAATGAATGCTTGCTGAATCGCTCTGCAGCTAACTCCAGGCAACCAAGGAGCCGGCGTTCACTGCTTCTTATTCATTCTCAGCTCTGGCCGCTGGCCAGGTCGAGTGGAGTTTGACCTTGGCACTCCAGAAGAAAGCAGCTGGAAGGTAAGGGGGCAAACCCAGCAACCGGTTTTTAGCTTGACCCATATCAACTAGATCTATCTTCAAGATTCTTGAAGTAATTTGCTGCGACTCTGAAAGCCACCCACCCACTCCTTACCAAATCAAAATCTCTGAACTTGTACCTTGGAAACTGCGCTCTAAATGACAATAATTGGACTTGCACCCAGTAAACCCCTGTTCTGACCTCGACATCATTAAAAGAAAAAAACGTTCTGACCTCAACTGAGGCGCCCCTCCGCTCTCTCCTCGAAGACGAAATCGCGGAAGGTGGTGAAATCGCGGAAGGTGTGGAAGTTGTGCAAGTCATGCAACTGGCAAAGGGACGAAGCAAATGCATACAACTGGCATACAACAGCATATTGACAATAGCCTTGATTACAAACAAAAGGTGTGTTCTGAAATTCACAACCGCTCTTTACTGAGCTGGTCATGGGCGGTTGCGCATATAGTGTGTTGATTGGTTTTGTTAGTTTTGCTTTGATGAATTGGACGCTGTTTTAGTTTGGACATGTCACTTTCCAACATGTTGGGGACCCCTCTCACCTGCAATGATTCCCCACATACTGCCTCCAACAACTTCTGAGTATATCTGTGTGCCAAGCGTTCTCTGAGGATCAAACCCCCTCGGGTCCGACCAGCTGGTGGTTTTCCACGCGGCCAACAGCGGCCAACACAAACACTCCCAGCCACCTGGGGAAATTGGGGGCCTCAGAAATGTACAATGTCTGGTTCAGACTTACAGGATCGCTTGCTTTGTACAGACCTGGCCCTATTGGTCTCTGGCCCTGGAAAACGCCGTTCTTCGGCGTACCTGTGGACTTCACGTGTGCCTTTTGCTATCGTATATCTTATCCATTCAAATCCCATTCCAAACAATTCATATATCAACTGGTCGCTCGCTCGCGCTCTCTCTCTCTCTCTCTCTCCAATTTGCTTGATGAGTTTGGTCCAGTTTGCTTGTTTTGATGCTTTGGACGTTGTTGAGTTTTGGACATGTCAATGTCCAACATGCTGTGAGCACCCCCTTGCCTGCAATAATTCACCATATATATAATACCATATATTATGTCTCCAACAACTTCTGAGAATATCTCGTGGAACTTGTTCGTGTTTCTCCTGGTTTCCTCAAAACAATCTGGAGGAAATCGCACTTCGCAGTTTATTCTTCACATCCAATGTCCATTCACCCAAACACCAAACCTTCCCGAAAAGGCCAACCGCCTTTCCTACCCGACCCCACCACCACTCGCTTCGGCTCCCACCGCAGCGCCGGAGCCCGCACCTCCAGCGCCGCGGTAGAGCTGTTCCAGGTCCCGGCACTGGCGCAGAGGTTCGTTGTGGGCGAAGAGCTCTCCCAAAGAGCTGAAACAAATGAGACGTGAACTACGACGAGAACATCTGAGAAAATGGAAAAGCAAGGATACAAAGAACAAAGACCAAAGAGACCACAGACCAGCAAGACACTTACCATGTGATGAGGCAATCCAGGGTAGCACAGCTGTTAGGTTGGGCCATGGAGCGGTGGAGAGTAAACAAAAAGCAGCTGAGACCAGCTGCAGGAGCTCTTTTGTGATGAAATAGATCCACCCCGAAGCAAGCAGCTGCCAGTCTGCGTGTTCCCAACAGGGAAAAGTTAACTTACTCGAACAGGTATTCAAGGTCACCCGTTCCACATAAAGTCGTTTGGGGTCAATGCATATCTTCTGCACGGACTTGATGGGAGGGACTTGGTTCGCGGCAGCCAGGGAAGTTAAGTTGTTAAACCGGCATGACCAGGCGAGTCGCTTTGTTTTTTCGAGAGTTGGGAGCCTTTGCAAAGAGAGGACTTGGACAAGAAGAAACTTCAATAGGTCACGCCAAAAGCGAACCTTCCACTAGGAGGAAGGAAGGAGGTGAATTCGAGCTTTGTCGATCTTTGCAGCTGTTCAAGGATGATCCCCGAAGACCGAGCCGCCCATCTTTGGGAAAAAGCTGCTGGTACCAATCATGCGGTGAATTCCACTCGGCAAGCTGCTTCTTGGTGCACAGGTGCTTCAGCTCATCATGTCAAGTGCGATGGACGCCCTGAGCAGCACCACCTCTGCAACGCACTGAGAAAGGGAATCCCTGCAGAACGAAACGCAAAGGGCCATGAAATTCCCCAACTTACTTGGCATGAGCTCCCGAAAAACGTGAGGCTATCTTCCGGTTCTATCTGCCAAGCATCCAAGCAAATCATTCCGCTAGCCGAGTCCGGGACGGTAAAAAAGGGCTATACAAGTCCAGGAGTCTGCAAGAACATGCGGACAGACACAGGCACGCCCTGATGACCTGGTACGAAAATCGACCGCCCTTTGGCGTCGACGAAGACTTGGACGTTTGGAGACAGACTTGCTCAAGGACCCCAAGTGTCCCACGCCTCGGATGCCAAGTTAGCAGCCACCTCGGCGACCTCGGTGTCGGACTCCGTCGATGGACCAGGTCACGCCTGACTCCGTCGACACGTTGGATCCACTGTCAGCGGTCAATGTCTTGAAGTGATCCAGTTGGAAGGAGAGTCCAACAGGTTCAAAACCCAAGCCAAACCTCAGAACGTCCACTCATTGAAGAAAAAGAACAAAACGTTGCAAAACACCAAAGATTTTGATGCATGATCGGCTTCTGGATCATGCACTCAGGTGATGAAACCATCAAAACCTGCGCATTCTGTTCATGTGTTGAATGCATCGGCATGTTTTTTCATGTTCATTCTGCTCTTTTGGATATCCTCACTAAGCGGATACTTCAGAAATGGCACTGCAGGCCGATTGGCTCAGCGCCGAACTATTGGCCTTCACTGTTGATTGTCAAAGGTGGAAGCTTCTATGGAACAAATTTGTGTTGACTGCTTGGGCCTTGTCTTGATGCGAATCAAGCGTACAACATCAGGATCCCTAATATGGTGAAGCGACCAATGGGTGTTTGATTTGGAAACAGAAGTGTCTCAAACGATTCATCTGCTTCGGAAATTTGTCGAGCTGAGCTGCAAGCGCTGCAAGTTCAGGCACTCGGAAAAAAGAAACCCGTGAAAACGGTGAACACCTACCTAACCGTGAAAACCTACAGGCTAACCTACAGACTAAACCGGAAAACCTTCTAGCTAACTGGCACCATCTCGTCCAGAAGAGCGGTAGCAAGGCTGAATTCTGTTCTTCCCCCGTGAAAGCCATGGAAGCCACCGAAGCCACTGAAGATACAAAAAAGTCACAGAAAAGACGGTTACAAAAGGTCAAAGCCGAAAGCCACAAACGCCACCAAAGCCAAAACCACTGTTTCACATATCAAAAACGGTCACGAGATTGTGTGGTATTTGGCAAACGCTGCGTATTTCTCAGAATCGTCAGAGGATGACGCTTCTCGCAAAAATGAGGAACTCAACTTACTGGTCCAGAATACACGGGTGGCCGACGACCAATTCCAATCGTCGAAGCGAATGGAAATAAACCTTCATTTTGCAGGGCGTTTTCCAAAGACCTCGATCCTAGAACTATAAGCAACTGAACAAACGACTCACCTCGCCACATACTTCTAAATGACAGGAGATCCAAACCCCTTCTGGTCCCGATTGACAGCCGCTTGACTTCCAAAACCAAAATATCCCACCATCCACTCTGATTTGCTTGCAGGGCCTTTGACTTTGGAGGAGGTCCCGACCTTTGGAAGGCAGACGGCAAACCATCTTTCTTGAGGCCCTGGCGCTCCGGGGCGGTGGGGGCTTTCTCTGGTGGCGCCCGCCGCCGCAGAGGCGCGCGCCGCAGACGCGCCGGAAGGAACCTCTCAGGACTCGGTGAAGATCTGCACAAATGAAAACAAGTTGAATCACCTGGAAAGGGCGTTTGTAGTGAAGTTCCCTCCAAGAAGTGGACACTAAATTGGTCTGCCCTGCGTGCATGCCAGCTACTGTGGCTGCCTTTGCCAACTCAGCAGAGTCGCAAACGGCAAACGAGTTTGCATTGTAAGCTGAGATGCACGAGGATACCCAGCTGTAGGTGTCTACTCTTCGCAGCCCCAACACTTGCCATGGTGCAGAGATGAGTAGTTTACTATAGTCACAGTCCGTAGTCTGAACGTGGAACAAACACTCTGCAAACTTCAAACAATAAGCTGCGCGTCGTTCGCTGGGTACCACACGGTCCTCCGTCACACTGGGCACCCAAACGCTTGGCCAAAATCAGCAAGGCCACACCTGCCCAGTGTTGGGGCTGTGTGCTCGGCCCATGGTGCTGCGGCTCCCAAATCGCCCAATACTTCAGGAAGGAGTTCTGTCAAAACCATTGATCAATGGCCTCAGTCTTAGAAACCGGCCTGCGCGTGAAAATCCTCAAACTCTTGTTTTATCTCTTTTTTGCGATCCAAACTGCGCAGAACCTCTAGATTACCACACCATTGACAGTAAGACTCATCATGTGATGTACTCCACAAAGTCCAAGCCGGCACGTTTCAAAGCCCAGATCATCAAACCGCCGGCGATGCTTAGCAAAGGTGTCGCTGCCACCGAAACGCAGCCCATGGTAAGAGTAAAGCAAAAGAATTTGAGGCTGTAGGGCTTGTGCATGGAATACTGAACCAGGTGCCGGCACACTTGTTCTGGTTCTGGTTTTGGGTTAGACCTGAGGGGTGACAAGAAGCCTTCATCAAGGCGTGCCGCAACAGATCGTGAACTCTGCCTGCTAAGCGCCCCATCGGCATCTGTGTCTTCAGGTTTCTCCTGTCCTTCCGTCATACATAAACGTTGAAGTTGGTCCATGCCACTTTGAAGCTCAATGTTCACCAAGTTGCCCAAGACTACATAAACAAGCAAGATTATGGCAGAGACCAACCCATGCGCAACAGCATAGCACATGTTGCTGAACTTGTCTTGACTGAAATGTGCCGTGGCGGCCAGCAAACCCGAGGCCAGTGAAAGGAATAAGCATAGCAAAAGGATCACGTTTCGCTTCTCCAAATTGAACTTGATATCTGCAAAGAGGGCTGCTCGAGTCTGGAACCACCAAATCAGACTTTTGTCTGGTTTGAGACTTTGTGGAAAGGCGTGGCTTGCAAAATGACGCAAGCACCGCTTGTTGCTGACCCTCTCGCGGATCTGGTACAATTTTTGCAGCAGCAGGGCCTGGTACTCTGGTTCCTCTTGGTTGTAAAAAAGCAACAAATCATTGAGAGCATGCAAGGAATTCTTGGCTACATGAAGGTGGTAGCAGGCAAGAACCAGAACAGCCTGGCAACCCACAAAGAAGAAAGTCGATGTAAAAAGTGCTACCTCTGTCCTGATCTGGTCGCTTCCATGCACGCAGGACCAACCTTTGTGCCAGATGTCCGGCATGTTTGTCATGGCATGCCAACCACGGTGAAGGACCGCTTCCGCCAGGTCAGGCAGCACCAGAAACAAAGCACTAAAACTGCTTCCGTGCTGAACTGCAGCGCAAATGCCCAGCAGGAGCACAGGCAAAATGCACAAAGTGCACAATGTAATGGGATGCCTGCGCTGCATGGTGCTTGCATCCGTTGACAAAAGCATCGGTGGTCTTTGCCTTGACTCACTCGGAATAAAGAGAAGAATGGGCTCTTTGGCATCACCAGCCTTAAGAATCTTTCGGTACTGGTTCCGATCTTGCCTTCCATTTTGCGGCACCGCAAGTCTCAGATGCCATTCCCCGTCTTCCTCCAGCACTGACAAAGGCTCAAGAACATGATGGCCATCTGGGCTGTAGATTAACATCACCGTCACGCCTTCGAGCTCTTTCGCTGCTTCTCCAGTGACGACAGATTCTTCAAGATCCTCACTGGAGGAATCAATGCAAGAGAGCGCCGTTCTACTAGTGCCAGGATGATGTTCCTTCCGCATTTTGCTCTCAAAGTCAGATGACTCGGAATGTTCTGATTCTGAGTCAGAATCCTCAGCCTCGTAAAGGCCATAGAAGTCAAGATCCAAAGGCTTCTCGTTGGAAACCGATTCAACTCCAAGGACCAGGAGCTTCCCTTGAGGCGACTGACCCCAAATCTGGGGGGCACCAACCAAATGTTTAGAAGGCCGTCCAAAGACGTATTCAACATATTTCCAGTTATCGTCATCTGAAGCTCCACAAGTTTTCTTGAGTTTGCAAATGCGATCGAGCGCTTCTGATGTCACCACGAACCAAAGAGCTGCAAATGGACTGGAATACTGCACAAATTTCTGGTTCCAGGTATAGGTGCCACGCACATGCCCTATCCCACAGCTGTTCCAATCATGGTCAGAGTCCAGATCTCTTTGAATCAGTCTCATAGCTCCACCAACACACAGGCCCAGTATCCACCAGTTTCTGATGTAAAAGGCTCCCAGGATGCCGCCCAGGGAAAGGCCCATGCAAATGGATTGAATAAGCTCAATCAAACGAGATGCGTCCAACTTCTCAAAGCCGAGATTCAACCACCGAGTAGCATAGTATCCAATGGCACACCATAGTAAGAATCTCAAGACATCCAGAAACCCTGATCCCGAACATATTTCGTCACAAAGATGTGTGCGATCTTCATCTAGTTTCCAAGCAGATAGAGGCAATCCAGTCAAAGTCCCATCTGTGTTCTGTGTTTTCAGTTGGTTCCATCGGTTTTTTCTGGTAGCTGTCGAATCGGAACCTCGTGGGTCACGATCATTCAAAGGTGCCATGGAAACGATGGAAAATCGATCCCCCACCTCTTTGGGCCGGAATGCTCAATCTCAGATCTATCACCCACCTCACAGCAGGAGTTTCTTGGTATCAGTAGTCTTCAGTAGTCGAAACCATCTGTGATCGAGAAAGGGTGTGAGTGGAGGCACCTTCGTTTGGCACCTTCAAAAGCTTACAATGAGAAGATGCAGAATAGTAGCCACAACAGAATGCATATCCGCATTTCAAGGGCATGCTGACAGTTGGATGAGGCCAAAAAAAAGCAGAGTCCTGTTGCAGTCCGGACCTGTACCGACTTGGGGCGAGTCTCAGGTCAAGACCTGGGGCATCTTGCGGCACAGGATCTGCAAGGGGACATGTATTTGGTGCGTTGGAATCGTGACTCACGATGAAAGCAAAACACTCTAGCGTGGGCACACAAACATGATTAGATGATTAGCATGAAGAGTGAGCAGAGTGTTGCCAAGAGACACCGTGATTCCAACAATGCCTTCCCAGGAAAACAATATTTTGGTGGGCAAAAAAGGCAAACAGCATCATTGTGCCTTCTGGATAATAGCCATCACAGGTCCACTTTGATGGATTCAAAGAACCGATTCAGCACAAGCACCTATCAGCCAAAGCATCTGGGAAATCGCAGGAGCCAGCAGCGAACACAAAATTGTCTGACACTCCCTGTCTTCTGCTATCAAAATTGGTTCCAGGACTCTGCAACGATTGATTTCAGCACAAACAAGTATATAGACAGGGCAAATTGAGTAGGGAGCGTTAGTCAGCAGCCTTCGCCCTTTACAGCTTCAGTTTTGTACGCCCGGTGGCCCGGTGGTTCCAAGATGTTCCTAAAAAGCATTGAAAACCTACAAACTTCCGGTCCAGAAGTGCTTTTACAGCAAGTAATTGGATGTCAAGTGTAGGACTACACCCTTGTCCAGCGTCCCCACGCTGCATGAAAGCCAGCGGAGAAGCTGATCAGCTGATCCATTCCAAAGAAAGGCTCTTTAAAAAGGTGCAATCATCCACCCCACTTCACTCCCACCCGGCCTCATCAGATCGTCTTTCCAAGCCTCGCCATGCAGGGCACGGCAGCTTGAGCAGGGGACGCCACTGGGTGGACAGCACCTGCCATGAATGAGTCCGGGTCATACCCTCCACGGACCTCGAGTCAGACAGTACGGAGAGATCCAATTGCTCAGTCTCCAGCTCTGGCGACGTCACACCTCGAAGACCTCCAGGCGACGCAGTACGGAGAGATCCATATCGAGTAGAAAAGGCCGAAGCCACGAGTTCTGCTCAACGTGCTTGTATATTTCAGCATGTTCCTGCCATGGCATTATTTTCTGCTTCACAGGAAACCAGGATTGCTCGTGCACATCAACCTTCCAATATCTTCCAATCTGATCTTGTTTGGAGAAGAACACAAACGATACGGCAAACGCTACGCCGCTGCATCGACCCGCCTCAAGCGACCCACCTCAAGGCCTCTCCGGAGGCAAATTCATCGGCAGCTAAATTCCGAAGCCAGTCCTCAAATCGCCGAAATCTGCAAGCGATCGGTGAAGAAATACGTCAAAAATTGCCAAGCAGTCAGTTCTGAAGACGGAAACCCATTCCGCTTCATGACACCTGAGAGGTTGGCCCTAAAGTGGCCTTCTTTCAGTGAAGGCAGCGCAGTACATCCAGCCACCGTTCCATGTCTGGTGCTTGGAACGGACGTCTTTGGCACATCGTCGGGGCTCGAAACCTTGGACCATGAAGCGAGGAGAGCCGTGACCGAGCCTTAGGGATAGGGAGAGCCTGAGCCTTGCACCGCATGGGACTTGCCACACATCCTGACCAATGGAGGAACACTGCTACGTACCTCCCCAAAGCTGGACCATTTGGAGTCAAGAAGACACAGTTTCTATAACACAGCCGAACCTCTGTCAGCTCATCACTGATTCTTCTAGAGAGGCAGTGGCAGGGCACGCAGCATGCGTAAAATATTGCTACTCGAAACTGGGAGCAGACTTTGGAGGAGGGGAGTTCCATAGCAGATCCACATAGTAACGATCAGTTCCAAGCTCCCCGCCATGGGAGTGGAGCCAAACTCCCGGCCTTGAAGTCATTCATTAGATCTCTCGGAGTCGGATGCGCCTGGATGCGGCCAGCGTGCTGGTCACAATCGATGAACGTCTAGCTAGCACGACTTGCAAACGACTTCGACACCAAGTGCAGCAGCTACCTTTGAACTGCATGCCTTCTTTCTTGGAATCGGAAGTGGACTACACATCAAACATTGTCGAGTTCTCTGATAGATCAACCTTGAGACAGGTCACCGGCAGCTTCAGCCACCGATACGACAAAAAAAGCATCCAGCCAATCGATGTTGGTTTCCGGGTCCTCTGTGTTCTCCGCTCCGGATGCCAACTTCACGGAGCGGAAAAGGCGATCCCAGAAATTGCAACCAAGGTGCTCAAGTCGAATTTGAAGAGGTCAGAACCTGGGTCTTGCTGGCCTCCGCCTGAACAGAGAACTGGCAGACATGTCTTTAAGCCATGTGAGTAAACAAGCATGAGCCAAAGCCGGGTGACCAAACAAACCTGAGCTACTTCGTAGAGTACTTAGGTGGGAGCATACCAACCGGTTGTCCGCTGTTGATAGACGCTAGGAGGAGATAGAACGAATCGCCAGCTTTACATTTTGGAGTGTCAAATATTCAAGCTAGGCGGCCTGACAGATTGCGGAACGTGTCCAGTGTGGCGACTGGTGATTGAGAGAAACCTGATGAAATACGTCAACCGACCGGAAGCATTTAGGCACCCCAAACACATGCTCCTTGAATCAGTCGCGTCAGTCTGTTCTGGCAAAGGAAGCAAGAATCGGAGCGCTGTGTGAAGGCTGGTGTGGTGCCTCAGCTCGCTCTTCCCTGAAGAAGTGGTCCAGGAAGTCCTTGCCACCTCGTGAAGCTGCCCAAAAGCACTCTGAAGGATTGCGATATGACAGAGACATGTCCACATGAATGGATTTACTCAGAACAACCAGTGTCCCTGTGACCTTGTGACTTGAAGCTGAGCCACACCTGCACCGGCTCACTGTGTCGATCTCAGTTGTGTCTCATGAAGGACAAATTGGGTCTCAGAACGGAGCAGAGAGGCCCCTGTTGCACAGCCCTGGCACCCGGTCGCACCCCGGTCGCACCCCGTCGCCTGTGCTGAAGCTGGTGGATCGCCTGTTGTCGCATGAAACAAGAAAGCACAAGTAAACTTAAAAGTAACAACTGGTTCTGGCTTGGCAAGAAGTTGCTTTCCCTTTGCTGTCTTGGAGTAGATATATCATTCAATGTGTTTTCATGTTTTTGTTCTATCCTTCAATTCATGATGAACTCTGGAATCGATTCTTGAAAGGAGGCTTGGACACGGGTTCCCCATGTTCAATGCGAAGGGCCCAACGAACACAGGGAAGAAACGCCCCAAAGGCTTGTGGATCTAAAGGCAACGTCCATAATTGCTCCAGTTGATATGCAGTGACATCGTGACGTGTCTATGCATGGCTCACATCGTCATCTACTGATAACTGCCAGGGGTCGTGCTACTCAACTATGCTTCCCTGTCCTACTCGTCTGACCCACAGCATCATCGCTTCGCCCCGTCGGAATTGCTGCCTGCCTTCCATCGCTCAACTGCACAGAAGCGCCGCTGATCGCTCCACGCTCCGCAGGGATGTCATCCAAAGCCTTCCATTTCCAATCCTGGCATTTTGCGATGGGATTCTGCTGCGCAGCGCGCTTGAGACTCGATTGCCGTATCGTTCGCTATCAACAAATCTCACTGTTACAGCCTCTGCTGGATCTACCTTAAGGTAGGCCAATAGCCATACGCAGCCAAGATCAACCAGACCTGTAAGAATTGATAATCTCCGCTCCAGATGCCATGAATCTCACTCAAAATCACTCAAGTGCTTCCCACAGTCTGACATCTGAGAGAGAAAGGAAAAGAACTCTCGGCAATTGCAACCACCATGCTCAAGCACAAGTGGAGGAGGTAGGAGTCAACTCTTCAATTTTACAGAGAGAGCATCTACATCCGTGGCAACCTGCCAACTACTAGAAATCTTGGGACCAGCTACAGCCCACCCCTCGTTCTGCCTCATTGCCTTATTGCACATCCGGTGGACCTGAAAGCGTCCAAACCGCAGTACAAGGACTTCTTAGATGTGTGAGTGTGACAAAAACGAGTCACGCGCCACGCCTGGCGAAGGTCGCGATTGCCTTCCGAAGCAGAGTCCTCCAAAGGCCGCTGGCAGCCGCCAAGTTGCTCTCGTGGCGATGGGCACACTGCCTGGCACATTCTTGCTTGAGACTGACAGCAAGCAGCTGGAGTGAGTACCAAAACGCACAGAACTCATCCGAATTATATAATAGCAAACCCGTAGATTGCTTGGGTGGAAGCTTGCTACGTCCACAAAAAATCTAACCAGCGAGCTGTCCTTCGTAGCTTGGGAATACCTTCTGCACCATCAAAAAAACAAATCACAGGTTTTGAAGCAACAGGCTCCGCGGATTGACTCATGTTCAAAGCCGCGTTTGCATGTGTCCTCTTAGTCTTGATGTTGTGTATAGCACAAGCGTGCGCAAGCCAAATGGATGCCTATAAGCACCAAAACATCGGAAAACCTTCAAATCCCATCAAATCTCCAAGGCCTTGTCTGATTGATATCCCACCGGTGTCAGTTCTTTACACCTGCAAAAGTGTGACAGGGGCATTTTGAGCGGTCATGTGGGTCACATCATGCACCTTTGCAGCGGTTGACCCGAAAATGTGGGAAACCTGAGAAAATGGTTAAGAGCCAAGAGAATTTGACAGCCAACATGCTGCATACATACTCTACAAATCCAAATGAGGCTGCGAAGAACATTCCACAGATTGGCGCAGTGCCAGCACGGTGGAGGTGGAGTAAACTACATTGGGAGTTCGTAGCAGGAATGGCTTTGCGTACAGTTCACATGGTCGCAACTGCTTCGTGTGTATACATCCGGACAAATCACAGAGAGTTGCAAAAACCTTGCTTTTCACTCAGCGAACCAATCTAAGCCTGGACTTGAGACGCTCCACAACTTGCTCGAGGGCGCCGAGCAGGTCTTTGGCCTCCATCTCCTTGGCCTTCAGCCGCTTCTCCAGCTGAACCTGGCAAGGTCATACCGCCTAGGTACCCAAATCAGCCAATCCCGATGCCGAGAAGAGCCCACAAAATCACTGCGATCCGCTGGAGCCCTGCCATGCGCCTCGC